GCGGCCCTCGTCAGAAGTAAACTCGAAACGGTATATAAACGAAAATATTAACTACTTTGGTATATAGGTACCTATACAACATTATAACGCACTCGGCGGCACGAGTGCTCTCTCGCAGACCCCCCTCATTCGTCTCTCTCTCCCCTGTACTTTGCCTGGTGCCTACCTACCTCCGTAAACCGTACAATAATAATAATATAATGTGCACACGGCGACGATCGCGGTGCGTGCGTTCCACTCGTTTAACCGCGTTACGTATGGCACTGTGGCACGACCGCGGTATATAAACTACTACACAATATTATAATGCGCGACGGTAAAAATATAATATTACGATAATAATAAAATGAAGTATTATGACAAACGATAGGACACGCGGCGGCGATGGCTCGAGCTGATAAGCAAAGGGCGAAACGGAATAAAAAAAAAACGGAAAATTAGTCAAAAATAAAAATAAAAAACAGACGGCGGGTATTTGTTTTACGGTTTTTTTTTTGATTTTGTCATAAATATAATATATATATATAATATTATTATATTATCGAGGGGACTCGAGCGACTCGTTGTTGCGGCCGCGTGTGCGTGTACACGATAATACGGGTAGGTACGCCGTGCGCGCAGTGCGTGCGCGCGCGTGTGTGTTCGTGCAGCTGTTTGTGGGGGGTTGCAAAACGACGACGGCGGCGGCGACAGGACGACGCGTGGTGGTTGTGGGGGCAGGGTGAAAAAAAAAATATATATAAAAACAGGAGAAAAAGGGAAAACGTTTCCTGGTGGTTCGAGTCGACGGTCGCGCCACCGTCGAGCCCGGTCGACAACGGTCTCCGCGGGGAATAAAACGGCGTCGTTGGCGCGCGCGCTAGTGTAGTGCGCGCGGGCACCACACCGGCCCGGCGGCAGTCGTAAACGAGCATGTACCGCCCGACACGGTCAGTCCGCGTTCGCGCACCGCATCGAACAGTTCGCCGCCGTCGCGCCATGTACACGGCGTCCTCGCCACTGCTACCGTCGCAGCAGCCGTCGTCGTCGTCGTCGTCTTTTTCGCCGAAACCGAAATTTGATATTAATAATAATATTAGTGATAACAACAGACTTAACGATTTCTCCGTCGGATCGCCGCTACTCTGACACTACTCTACACTCAATCGGTGACAACGATATTATAACACCGTTACTACTGTCTCTAATAAAAAAAAAACATTTTTTCCGCGCGTTTTGTTTTAAAAATTATTTTTTTCTCGACACCCTCGCTCGTCGTGGTTAAGTGTTAATTAATTTATATATATTTTTTTTCAATCCTTCCGCGGATTTGTCATGGTCGTCGGACCAGCGCCGGCCGTTTTCTAGCGTATGCTTTCGGTCGACGAGTGACCACCGCTACCTCCCCGCCGACGCCGCGAGTATGTGCGTTTTCTTCGCTATTCTCATACTTGTACCGATGTGGCACTCGGTGTGCGGCCAATACCATCACAGCAACGCGTCGTCCGGTCCGCAGTTCAACTATGACGCTCCGGAGGACTGCGCGTGGAAGGTCCGCGACGGGCACGGCGATGAGGTGCTGCTGGCGTGCACGCTCCGGACCATCAACAGCGAGATTGACACCACAAACTTCTCGGCCATCCCGTCCGAGCACACCGTATCGTTGCTCATATCATGTGATCCCGCGATCACGGCCCTCAGCTCGATGGAGAACCAGAGTTTCGCCCACCTCGTTCGGCTCCGCGAGCTCGAGCTGGACGCGTGCAAGCTGGCCCGGTGGCCGGCCGCTACGCTCGCCGGGCTCACAGACCTCCGAAACCTGACCGTCAGGACGGGTATGTCCGATTGGCCGGACGCCGGTATGACCGTCGAAATTGCGGCTGGAAGTTTCGCGCATGCCGGCCGCCTGGAACGGTTGGATCTGAGCACCAACAACATTGTAGCTCTGCCCGAGAACGCGTTCTGTCAGCTACCTAACCTGGTGATTTTAAACCTGAGTAGGAACCGCATACAGGACGTTGCTGACTTAGGGTTCGGCGAACGTGCGCCACCTCCACCACCGCAGCCACTAATCAGCGGGCGCGATGAAGTGTTCGACGCAAACCAGTACCTGAGGAAGCCTACGTCCAGTCAGTGTCCACTTGATGTCCAGTCCGTCGACGTATCGTGGAACCGCATTGCCGTAATACCATCCAACGGTTTCAGCTCGTTGCGCCGGCTCACTGAGCTTCGGCTCACTGGTAACGAGATATCAGTGGTCAACGATAGGCCGCTTGGTGGTCTTACGGGACTAGAGATTCTTGACATATCTTGCAACAACATCATCTCATTGCCCGTCGACATGTTCAAGGACGTGGCAGATAGTATCAAGCAAATCCACCTTCAAGACAACTCAATCAGCGCTTTGTCTCCAGGTCTATTTGTCAACCTGTACCAGTTGACTTCGTTAGATCTATCATCAAATCTGCTCACTAGCGCTTGGATAGACGCCAGCACGTTTACGGGTCTCATTAGACTGGTTGCGTTAAACTTGTCCAATAACAAAATATCCAAGCTCGATCCAACGATATTCCACGATCTATACACGTTGCAGATATTAAATTTAGGAGGTAATCTAATTGATTCGATACCAAACGATGCATTCATACCACTTAGGAATCTTGACACGTTAGTGCTGTCAAACAACAAAATTGTCGATATCAGTCCATTGGCTCTGAACGGTCTTTACGCGCTGACCCTTCTCTCGTTGGATGGCAATAAACTAACAGACGTGCATGAGGACTGCTTTAAAAATTGCACCACACTGCGGGAATTAAACCTCAGCGGTAACGTTTTAAAAACCATTCCATTGGCTTTGAGAGAAATGAGAATGCTGAAGAATGTGGATCTGGGAGAGAATAAAATCGATTCCATAGACCCAGATTCGTTTTACGGTATGTCAAACTTAAATGGTCTGAGGTTGATGGGAAATCGACTCCGCAATATAACTTCTAACCTTTTCGACAATTTGATTTCACTGCAAATATTAAGCATTGCACACAATCATATCGACTTTGTGGCTTCGGACGCGTTTCAAAACATTTCAACCATAGAAGCGATCAGGCTGGACGGTAATCGACTATCGTCGATAGACCATATAGTTCGCAACGTGTCCAGTCTGAGGTGGCTAAACGTGTCCGATAACGTCCTAAATGAATTTGATTACGGTATGTTACCAGAACGGCTAGAATGGCTTGCCATGCACAAAAACTACCTGACCGAGTTGACCAACAAAAATGGTGTCACCATCAAGATTCGTCAGCTGGACGTGAGGTACAACTACCTAACGTACATCAGCCCGGCCTCAATACCAGATAGTGTAGAGATACTACTGATGAATGACAATCAGATCATGACCGTGGAGACAGGAACTTTCTTGCGAAAGACCAACATCACCCGGGCCGACATGTACGCAAATCAGATCGGCCAGTTGGATATCAACGCACTGCGACTGGCACCCGTTCATTCGGACCGACCACTACCAGAGTTCTACATCAGCGGCAACCCGTTCCAGTGTGACTGTAAAATGGAGTGGCTGCAACGTATCAACCTGCTGGCTGGGCTGCGTCAATACCCGATGGTGATGGATATACCGTCAATTTATTGCAAGCTGCTGTACAACCGGGAGAATAAGTACGTGCCACTGTCCGAAATCAACCCAGCGCAATTCGTATGTACTTACAAGACGCATTGTTTTGCCGTGTGTCAGTGCTGCGAGTTTGACGCGTGTGACTGCGAAATGACATGCCCAGCAAACTGCACGTGCTACCACGATCAGCCGTGGTCGTCCAATATCGTTGACTGTTATTCATCCAACTACACCCAGCTTCCAGCCAAAATTCCTATGGATGCCACTGAGGTCTATCTGGACGGAAATCTGTTCACCCACCTGTCCAGTCATGCGCTGCTGGGCCGCAAGAACCTACGTATACTGTTCGCCAACAACTCAGGTATCCGGTCGGTGCGCAATGATACGTTTACGGGGCTTAAGCGCCTGGCCGTACTGCACCTGGAGGACAATCAGATAGAGAGGTTCGATGGATCTGAGTTCAACACCGTGGAGAACCTTCGGGAACTGTACCTACAACACAATTCTATAAGCTACATCAGCAACATGACGTTTGAACCACTAAAGAGCCTGCAGGTGCTACGGCTCGACCACAACAGACTATACGATTACGATTCGTGGATATTATCTACCAACTCGCGCCTAGTCGAGCTGCACCTATCCAACAACCCGTGGTCGTGTGACTGTGAATTTGTCCAGTCGTTTAGACGGTACATTATAGCGTCCGGTGATAAGGTCGCAGACTCGGCCACCGTCACGTGCCATTCTGACGGAAACAGGGATGTAAGTATTCGTGACCAAAATGCCACTGAGTGTAGCTCATTTTTTGGTTCCATCGTAGAAAACCGTATCGTCAGGGACGTATTGCCTACGGCACTAACGGCTGTGTGTATAATTTTAGCTCTGGTGCTAATCTTGTACCTTGTAGTCGTATACAGAGAAGAGTGTCGTGCTTGGGTGTACTATAAATGCGGATTCAGAATATGTCATAAGACGGTACCATTCGAAGATGACAGGATGTTCGATGCGTACGTCACGTACAGCTTGAAAGATGACGGTTTCGTTGCTCAGATGCTAGCCCCCGGTCTGGAACAGGCAACCCTAGGTACAGGGTAGGCTTACACTATCGGATTTTAATGTCAGCTCGTTGTCGCTGATACTATTGTGGAAGCTATCGAGTCCTTCAAGAGAACAATTCTGGTTGTTCTCTAAAAATTTTGTGGAATCTGAATGGTGTCGTTTGAATTCAAATCAGCACTGCCCGAAGGTCTTAAAGACAAAAATGGACGGCTCATCTTCGTCGCACTCGGTGAAATTCAGCCAAGGACGTCGATCCGGAACTCAGGAGTTTACATGAAAAATTCTATACAAGTAACTGGGGCGATCGAATGTTCTGGGAAAAATTAAGTTTGCGATGCCGGATGTCAGCAAGTGTCAAAGCTTAATGTCACGGTCTAGAAATGGTGTAAATATATATGCGACACCATTGAGGACGTCCTATTCATTTGGTAGCCAGCCACCAAGGACTGCTTCAGTACAGTCAAGCAAGTATTACTTGTCAACAGCAGACGTGATTCTTCGCAGCATCTTTGGGCGTGATTCGCCAAAAGGTAATACTTAAATAATAATTTATAGTTTTAAGTAATTTTAGTTTGTTCGTGTACTTATACAAATTAATTTATAACATAAAAATAAAAACTAAAAATCATCAGAAAAAATCATTAAAAAAAATTTTACCTTAGGCTAAGTATAACGATTTGCTTTAATTGTGTTGTGATCCCAATAAGTTGAAAATTACCAAAATTATTCCTATTGGTTGTATAGTTGTTGTAGTAATTTCTGTATGTATTGTATACACATACAATCTATAGTCTAAAAAATATTTTTAAAAAAAATCGTAAATTAAGGATCTTATAAAGTTATATGAAACAGCAGTGTATTTTTAAGTTATCAGCACAAGTACTTAAAATCAAGTAACAAAATTCAATGAAATTTCTCTGCCATATAAAAGGTGCCGAGTGTACCTCGTAATTATTGAGTAGGGTCATTGTATGGATGTGTTAAATTTAAATTTAATGATAAATGATTGTAAAAAGATAAAATTAATCTGGGTGAAGACGATCTCTAACCTGTATATTTTTACTTTACATTTATAGTGCTATTAGTCATTTATTTATATGTAAAAAATACGGACAGTTTGAACAGTTTTTTCAAAAAATACAAATCACGCATACCTACGTAAAGAGTATTAATACTAATTAAAATATTATTTCATATTACTAACTTTTAACTTAATATCATCGTGTGAATTGGTTCACAGTATGAATAGCTTAAATTTAATCTAAATATTTTGAAAATACTACGAGTTCTATGTATGGTATATTATAATATACAGATGTCAAAAGTTCAAATCCCTACGAATAATATTTTTTGTTTCACAACAAAATAACAAAAATCATTATTTTTTTGTTTAAATATCCAATCTCTCGAAGTTCACTCTGTGATTTACCTCTTTTTTCACCGTCTTCATATTCGCTTATTGTGTAGGTATAACTCGTATAAGTGAATAAATTCTGAAATAAAAGTTTTATTTGATCTCGTAAAAATTTAAAAATAAAAGTCTATCTTAAAAATTGCATAGAAAAAAAAATATTTACATTTATAATAATTAAATTAAAACAATTAAAAATTTCAAATGCCCATAAATACATTGTGTAAAATTAGTCTTATAATGAACAGTTCATTGTACAACAGGAAAAATAATTTAAATGACTGTGGGATGTTTCAAATTTTTACATTATATAATATTTTTTAAATTATTAAAAATAACAAAAAACCGTTAAATGAGAAACCATTATTTTACTTGTGAATATCTAATGTTATCTTAATTTAAACTTGAAACCATAATAAGAAAATAGGTAATGTGGCAATACGCTAAACTTTGTTTTTTAATTTCCATACTAAAAACTTATGAGGAATCTTGTCTTAAATTTCCAGGGTATAATAATTATAAATTGTATGCATTTTTAACGAAAGTATAATTTACGTTTTTGAGATGAACGTTCATGAAAAATTAATGTGGATTTACGCTCAACTTTGTTTTTAATTCCGGTAAGAACAACTTATGAGAAGACTTCTATTAAAATCTCAAGCCTTTTGACCAAGCATAAAAATGTTTATCAACATTTATAACAAAAAAAAATGTTAATGTTTTCAAAAATATTCAATTATTTTGTAAATTGTCTACCGTGCATAGAAAATGTAAATATAAATATTTAATGAACATTTCAAGTATCTACGAATATTCGTTTTTGAATAACTACAAAATATCAAAATATTAGGAAATGTATTATTATATACTATTTTTTTATATATACTATATATTTTTACTTTTAACATCAACTGAATAAATTACCAACCTTATAAAAATTTACCTAACCTACTATCATCCTAGAAAATTAATTTCGAAGTATTTTATACTATAAAATGTGTTTTCACTAATCAGACAAAAAAAAAAATACTCATCATCGTGTACCAATCACTCCGCTCAGAATCTAAAACATGGGATTATTGCCTCAGGGACAATCCCGAGTTTTGTACCTACAGGTAATCACGTTTCGTCTGAACGATTCTCATTAAGTACCTCGTGTTCTTTGCTAAAGGTAGAGGTCTAACGTAAATTAGACGTGTAAACTGTACATAAGCTAGTTGACAGAATAGATTATCATCATCATAGGGTATAATAATAATTTCAATATAATACTTGTGCACAACACCAAATTTGTTTTTCATATTATGTTCACTCCTGATTAAACCTGATTTCATTTTATTATTTAATAAAAGTATTTTTTTTTTGAATGGCATACCTAACAGAAATTATTTAATAATAATATAGATAAAAGTACTCGGGGCGTTATGTTTATATTCATTAAAAAATAAGTCAGTATTTAAAATAGTCTGTCACATGATCCACTTGTGTACAATAATTTGTCAGTTATTGAACTAGAGCTTGTCGTAACGACAGTAAAATTAACTAATTGCCGTATATACTTGTATTATAGTGCAAAAGTATACATTATGATAATAATAAAAAAAAATTAATTATGTACCTACATACGATAATTATTGTAATTGTCAGTTCCGAGTAGGCCCATTAGTCGATTATGTTAACGTTTAAACAATTGTACCTAGTAATAATGAAGTGTAAAACACATGGGTAGAAATTAAATTAGTGACTCTTCTGTCTGAAAATGCCTTTATATGAAGATCCTTTTAAAAAAAAAGTTATCATTTTCGTTAATTTGCATTTACCACTCCAAAGGACCCTTTGCTATTTGACACCCTCCAGCGAAACGTTTATCTACCTTTGTGAGGAAAAAGCCCTTTATATAATTTTTTTTTTTTTTCATTAGGTACACTTTGTGTATAATATACTTTACGTGTGAATGGATGTTAACTTCAACTGTTTGGGGCCTCTTGACATCGTCGTTTGTTTGCTTTTTTTTCCTTAGTCACTAAAAAGATGTTAAAATGCCATTTTACAATGTTTAAATCGGATTTCCATCGGAATAATAAAAAAATAATAACAAATACGTACTCTTTTATTATCTATCTAGACGTCTACAAAGTATTTTTTAATTTGAAACTTGTAAACCAGTTGTAAAGTTTAATAATAACTATGCATTTAAAATACAGAAATAGCGTCTTGCTCGCCAGAATAACTAGTTTATTTTTCGCCTCAGGAGACCATTTAGAATAAAAAACAAAAATACTGTAAAATACAAAATGCCACAAATCCCATTATTTCTGTTCATTTTTTCTACATCATTAAATTTGTAAACTACGATGTCGGGCCCATTTCTTCTTTTATTTACGAAGATTTCATTAGCTCATGTTTGAAGCCCGTGAGTCCTTGCAAAATATCATTTTTCGGTTTTTTTCCCCCCTTTAAACGGTGTTTATATATAATACTCTCGTTATTGTTATGTGTTTTTTACCTCCAAAATTAAAACGTACCCTCAGTTTTGTCGTCTTTTCGCCCTAATACGTAACATCTGCTCGACAATGCCTCCCATCTGCCTCTCCCGTGTACTAGTATTCACCCCACATCATTTTGTGTATGTGTGTGTGTATGTAGGTGAGTATGTGTGTGTAAAGAGAAACCCAATCTCGACACCTTAGCCCATTCGATAATTAACCCTCTGATACGACTAAGGAAAGGGAGAGTCGCAGTTGTGCGTTACACAAAATGGTTTGAGCAAACTGAACGTTAATTTCGAACATCGGAGTAGCTACACTATTATAGGTACGTACTATACGTATGTATATAGTACAGTGTCGACACAAACATATTTTATTAAAATATTTCCGTAGGTACCCAACGTCATTATCATACAACATTTTATTTAATATTTGTATTCATTTACAAATAAGTTATAGAAGAAATACCAATATTTCGTGTTCATTTAATAAATCATATGATAATAAATTTGAAAATAATGCACACACTGTGATGATATTATATACCTATAACTAGTCTACATTTTCATTAAACATAAAATAGGTTATTATTTAATTTTTTTACAAGTAAAAGCTTATTTAATAATCCTACGTAGATTATGATTGAACCGTATAGCTTAAATAAATATATGGGTAGGTACAACATATTTTTAATAAAATTATCATTTAATTTAGAGAGATTTAATGAAACTTTTTACTAAATAATAATATTAAATAAATATTTATATTTCATTTATTTAACTCGTAAAAAATATATATTTCAATTAGGTGTGTATCTTACACTGTCTTAATAATCATTAATCTAAAACGAGTTTTCCCTAAAAATAAATTTGAACTACACTATTTGAATGCTATAATAAAAAATCAAATAAAAATCTTATCTTATTATATGACGTATGCAAATTCAGTGAATAAAAATTTACAACGCAGTTGTACAATATAAGAACTAATAAAATTCAATTTATTTTAATTAATTTTAATAACTATATCATAAAATAAATCTTATGATTAATAAATCAAAATTTTAATGAGGTATATCTCTGTATGGTTCAGGAGTTGATGTAAAATTGATTAATTAAGTTATAAAAGTATTTTTTATTAGTTCGTTTGATTTCAGACTCAATAATACTTTAACGACAATATTCTTATATATTTTAAACGATTAAACACAATGTCAACTATTTCTGCCATCCAAGTCGTACATACTAGTCGATTGTCAGGGATTGGCGTCCAACGGATGAAAACAATTTTTTAAACGGTTGACCAAACTTGTATATTTTATTTTAGTACATGCCACTATAAGGGGTGTATAAAAGTTGACAAAGTTTAGTTCTTTTATGAAAAAAAAACTACCTAAAAAAATACTGTCCCAACAAGGGACTTAAAATGTAAAAAACGATCGGTATCGATTTAGCGATATATATATATATAAATGTATACACCGTTCGGGGACACGTGCGTTTCGTTCACGTATATAGTTCCGTTAACGTTTGTGAAATCGGCTTAAAGTCCCAATGGACAAGAGCCGGGCACAATGCAACTGAATAAAATTTCCGTCAATGTAAAAGCCGATAAATCCTTAATAGGATTT